TTCGATAAATACAGAAGGGAATATCATATTTCGAATATGAGCGCTGACTGACTGTTTCATCATGTGCGTGGCTTTCTTTGCTTGGGATGTCCGGGCAATGGTTTGAGAGTTGAAAAGGTTATCAACTAACGTCAACTAAGGTCCCTTCCATTATGGAAGGGGCGGTTGCCAACAGCCAACGCCCCGTTGGCTAACACGGAACATGGAATGGGTAAGATAGACCTCAGCACGGCCAACTCGGACCTCGGTTAGAGCCTTTGGACTCTGCTCTGGGATTTTGGCCAGCCGCAGAGAATTGCGGCACGTAGATGCTGAGGGCAAGCAAAATTACTCCCTTGGGGAGTATACGTTCTCCTTAGGAAGAAGGTTTTTACCTTTGCCCGCATTGTGCAATTGATTTGCACGTGACAACAGCGAATGGAACGACGAGACTGATAGACAATTGACCAGTGTGGACGGAGACACATACCAACGCAACCAGCCTCGACGATATGTGACACAATTACTCGACGACTCCTTTTCAACGATAACGAAATACTCGAATGAGCGAAGGTAGATCGAAACTTTTGGGGTGAAACTATTTGAGGAGCCCAAGGGCAGTACTACATCAACTCGATGTACAGCCCAGAGGCTCGGACTAAGCCATGAAAAGCTTAAAGATAGCGCCTACAATAACCAAAACTGTGATGACTGAGTCATGTGGCGTAATACTCAGTGGGGAATGGGATATTCGCGCTATGCAGTAGCCGTGGAATATATTTTTCACAATTGTATTTCATATCACGAGTGTAACTTCACTGACGACATACCTCTGATCGGCATGGTGAAATCTACTCGAGGAACGCTGAAATTTCTTTACTCATTCGCACACCCCTCATTAGAAATTTAAGGAAATTTTTATCAAAAAACACGTTTTTTCAAAAATGATCTTTTCAGTTGTTTTCAATGTATTCAGTGTATTCCTTCCAATGCATTAGAAGCTCGCTTCAGTCGTGAATCGGAGTTAACATATAGTACTGATGGCATACCTCAGCGTATTGAGATCACGGAAAAGGTAACCAGTCAGAATTGAAATAATCGCTCGACGCGATCGCATGCCCCTCGTCAGTGTCGAAGGGAAATATGTTCGCTTCCCTCAGCTGAATGTAGGAGTTTCTACACTCACTATTAGAGTCTATATAAGAACTCGGGCAAAAATATACAGAAATTTTTATTGTTTTTACCAAGACGTAGTGGATAAAGTTGATATTTTCCAACACTGGTGTTGCATCTGAAAACGGACAGTTCATTGTACACATGCTTCGCGTCTGCTATCCGAAAAACTCAATAGTGCATCAAAAAAAATCGAATAACGATTGTGAGAAGACCAACAATGCATTGGAGTTTCACCCAGGAGATGAAAAACGTATTTCGCGATTACCGCATATCGCGAATATCACGTATTTCAGCGAGTTTCACGCCACTTCACGTGGAACGGGTGAAACTCCAATAATCAAATGCCACAGTGTAGCATACTGTCAACAGAAATGAGCTGCATTGTGCATGAGAGGCAGCACTTCGATGACACGTGGGTGGTGCAATACCCGCCGAGTTTCACCCGTGATATGGAAAACACTAGTGAAAACACAGTTCACATGTCACTTCGCGACGCAAAACGGGTGAACTGCATTACTCTTAAGAGCGGAGAGCCAACTAAGACGCATTTTCTATTCCGGATTATGATAGTGACACTTTCGCTATCATGATAGCTATCATAGTCTCGAAAGGTTACTATTATCACATCACATGTTCGTAGCAATGTTTATATTGCGATATAAGATTTTGGAATATAACACACATTTGCATATCAAATTAACACGCACCGGAGTTTCACCCGTGATATGAAAAACATCAGGAAGCTGCTCTACTACTATACGCTATCTATTCTCCAATATGGTAACCTAGTGGTCATAAGCGAGTGATAACGAGATATGTGGTGATGGCAGGCTCAAGAGGTGTTCAGTGGACCTGTAACTTAGGAGGCCTTCCTCAAGGAAGGAGCGTAAGATCCTTAAGGGAGGAGCGCCTCCTTATAAGTTATAAGTTATAATTTATAACTTCAAGTTATACTTCAAACTATAACTCTAAGTTATTAACTTAGGAAGCGTAAGGATTCCTTAAAATTAGGAGGCTAGGGACCTTACGTAAGATCCTTAAGGAACGAGGCTAAGGAGCTGCACCTTATAAACCTTAGGAGTCGCTCATTAAGGTCCTTAAGAAAATCGCCTTAGGAGCGTAAGGTTGGTCCGGCTCAACCTAACCCTGGTTTACGGGGCCAAAACCGAATGTATCGGCAACCAGGGATCCTGCAATCTATCCTGCGACCTTCCGACTGTTAGCAAGACATACCAACCAAGAGAACATTCACATTGAAAGAAGATTTGCACCCCCAGGGATCGATCCAGCAAGCTTCCGATAGTCAGCAAGACATACCATCCAAGAGAACATTTTGACCGAAATCCGACAATATGTGTGAGGGTTGAAGTTCCTGATTTCTCACCACCCTTGCCGAAACAAGCTTATACCTTCCAACTCAACAGTTGTGAACGATGATGTTGCAGGGTTGTGAGCCTTCTCTCTCAGTCAATCTGCCAGATGGCATGTCGACGAGATTAACGGCTTGGGCCCAGATCAGCACAAGGCATTCAAGAAGTATCAATTATAATAAGTATCAATTCTACGTTGACAACAAGAGAAACTCTGATGGGCGCTACTTCTTCATCACCGGCGATGCCGGAAGCGAAAAATCTTTCCTCCCGAACTCGATAATCAGCGAGATGAGGAGCAGTACGGCCGACCAGGTAGTATTAGCCTGGAGTGGGATGTCGGCGAAGCAAGTCGGTGGTTTGACAATCATCTCCTACTTCCGACTAGCTTTTGATGATACTGGAGTTGTTGGCGATAATGCATGCATGCGTTCGATAGCAGAACTTACGAGGAGGATGGTGAGAGGTATCAAGGGTAGTGAAGAAGAGCAGCGCCTGAAGGGTGGAGCGGTCATTTTCGTGGATGAAGTGGGAACAGTACACGCCAGTGTATTCAATGCTATATCGGAAACCATCAAGATTATCCGTCGAGGGGCGCCTTATAGCCACATGCCGTTTGGAGGCCTCCCAGTGGTTCTCTCGGGAGATCCCTGCCAATTAGGCAGGGTCTCACTCTTTGAAGCCTCATCTGGATAATATCCAGTGGATATAGTCCTGAGGAGTACCCAACACGGCCGTTCTGGGAAGCTGCCTGCTGGAGGGAAATGTGTCCAACCATCATCTACCTGCTGAGGTTCAACAGGGGCTCAGATCGCGACTTCCTTAGACTTCGCAAGGAAATAAGGAGGACTCGAAGCGAGGATGATAGAATTCTCAAATTGATATAGATATACGAATGAATGATGAAAGATTGTGAAGGATTATTTTTGATTGAAATGATTGAATAATTTGATTTATTGGGAACCATACCATTGTCCCCAACAAAGAAAAGTGCGTGTGGTTGAATAGTGTCTGCACTGCGGCAGTGGGGTATGGGCACAAAAACTCGGCCCGGCGCCGTGAATCGCCCCGCCACGGCCCGGGCCGTTAGCGGCCGGGCCGCGAAAAAATTTGATTTTCCCGCCTCACGCCCCTTTTCCGTTTATTTGCCGACCCGGCTAGAAACCTTCCCGGATGTCCCGGCCGGGGAAACTGGGTTCCCGCATTCCGGGTCCCCGCAGTCCGTGTTCCGGATTATTTGAAAATTTTAAGTTGAAATCCATGCTGATCAGGAGCACGTGACTGCTCGCCACGAAAATATGCGCTAGCGGCTAGCCCAATTCTTCACCGTTATGGGTATATCGCTGAGGCAACAGCGTGATGTCATTACGGTAATAGTCTATAGGTGAGTGTAGACCCTAGACAATTTGATTAAATGGTATCATTCAATTCATAACTTGTTTTCGACCATAGGAGTTTTCGAATTCGGATCAACCATATAGTTCCACTACATAGTATGTAGTACATACCCCCGTCCTATATTTCCAAATCCTCTATATCACGTGTGAGCAACGTAACCTGAGCAGTCCAGGCTGAACTCTCCTCGTCCTACGAATGCAACTTGAATTATTCAAAGGTGATTCCGTTGTATAGGCGCGCGCTACAATTTGTGGCGCGTGAGTCGTACGATAAGCGTCTTACCTCAAAATAATGTAGACTGGACTTTCAGAGTTTTCAAAACTTAGTTTTGAGAGCTTGAGGCCGTGAGCCTCAAGCGGAATACCGTGCATAAGCGTAGCACACTAGATCCGGGAATCCCGGCACGGGTGCGCCCCGGTGACTCCTCGCGGGAACATGCGTGGGTGCGGGATTCCCGCAGCATACCTCAATTATATACGTGGCGAGTCGGGGACGCCAAGAACTCCCGATGCCCATACCTCACTACGTCGTGCCACGACGAACACCGCATCTTCTGCACGAGAGTTGTACATAACCAGATATTTCGAGTAATTTCCAAATTTGTTGCCGAGTTGTACATCGCATAAGTCACCAGACTTAGCAGCAGGAGGGGCAGGGGGCTTCTCCTTCTCAGTATAGTCGAATCCAATCCACAGCAAAATACTCGTCAATGGTACCACTACTATTGGCAGTCACAAAGTCCTGAAATAAGTCAATACAAGCCGTTTCAGACTTCGCCTTCTTCTCAATTCTTCTTGCGAGTTCATTAACACCAACATTACCTGCCACTGATTTGCATGAACGCACAGTCAAGGCAAGGTTCTTCCTTCGCAAAGCGAAAGAGAGCTTAATAGCAGACATATCACTACTTGCTTCATCACTGGGCGATGAGAGACGAGCAGCCAACCTTCTTTCTTCACTGAAGGCACGCGTTAATGGTATCCGTCGAAATCTCAGAGACGTCCATCTACCTAATAATGGAACCGGATTGTTCTCTCGAGGGGATTCTGCTTCTTGAAACTCCCTCCATCTCTTTACCAGAGCACGATAGAGATTTGAGGACATCCAACCATTTCACAAAATAGTCATGGACAACCTCAGCATCATACCCATCTCTACCAACTTCTTCTCCAATTTTCGCCCAAAGTAGAAGCTTAGAGTCCGCATCAACGTATTCCCCACCTTCTCCATTAGTCTTCATGAGTAGAAAACGGAGCTTTTCCCTCAAGGCAGCATCCACAACTGTCTCAGGGAGATAAGCAGCTAAACCAACCAACAATAGTGGCCAATTCGGACCGGACACTTTTGCAGTGGCAGAACTCAGCTTTTGACGAAATGCTTCATACTTGAAGGTAGCATATCCTTCTTCTGGGCCAAAAGAGTCATCTTTGGTAGCTAAAGGGTGGCGTGCTAATTTGCAGGCTGAATGAAACGCTGCTGGATCGGGGCCAATATCTTTTCCCGCAACCGAGTAGCTCAAACTCGCCCACGCCACTGAGCTAGATGCTATTCCTACAACTGCAACCAATTGTCTATATGTAGACTCACTCTGCAGATGCCCCCACTGGCTGTCCAGGTCTGCTTCACCACTTTCCTGGATAGCGGATAAAGCATTACGAACTCGCTTAGCAGGGTTTGTTTGTAATACAACCGTAGCAGTCGTTGTAGAGACGGATGATGCACCATGATTGGCCTTGGTCTTAGGAGCCATGATGAACACAACAATGTAGTTTCCAGTAACTTAGTAAAAACAGCAGTATATAGCAAGACTAAGTAGCTAGCTAAAGGTCAGGCTAAGTATCAAGGATTGTGTGCAGGTGTCTCCGAAAAAGTCTACACAAGGCTTCCTGCAGGGCAGGACCTGCACACAACCTTCACTTCACGCACAATAACCTGACAATGTGGTCATCCTTCCCATGTAAAAAACGCGATATGAAGTGAAATGAAAATACTCGGCGAATTACATCGGACAAATCAGCCCAGTTCACGTGAAACACATCACGTATTTCACGCGATGTGTTTTTCACATCAGGAGTAAAACTCCAATGCGTGTATGTGTGTCATCGGCTTCATACTTTTCTAGCGATGGTTGCTCGAGCGGATCTGAAAGTGGTAGTGTTTCGGCGTCCGAGTTTGGCCTTCCGCCTGCTTGAGAGTACTTGCAGTTTCACCCGTTTTTACTCGCGAAGTGAAATGTGAACTGTGTTTTTCACTAGTGTTTCCCATATCACTGGTGAAACTCCACGAGTACTTCACTGCCCACGTGTCACCGAAATACTGCCTCCCATGCACAGTGCAGCTCATTTCTGTTGACAGTCTGCTACGTTGTGGGATTTGATTATTGGGGTTTCACCCGTTCCGCATGAAGTGGAGTAAAACTCGGTGAAAAACGCGATGTTCGCGATATGCTGTAATCGTGAAGTATGTTTTGAACTAGTGTTTTTCATACCACGGGTGAAACTCTACTGTACTGCAGCCTGCAGTCTGCAGGTCTTTCTACAATTACTGTTAAATTTTTTTTCGATGAGCTGTTGAGTTTTCGAGATGATAAGCGTGAATCGACTTATCGAAACAAAGTATGTGTACACTGAATTGTCCGTTTCGAGATGCAACACCAGTGTTGGAAAATATCAACATTTTCCACTACGTGTTGGTGACAACAATGAAAAATTCTGTAAATTATCTTCGATCTCTGTATATGTTTGGCCGAGTTCTCATATAGGCTATTTTTTTCGAAAAAAAGTGTTTTTTGATAAAAATTTTCTTAAATTTCTAATGAGGGGTGTGCGAATGAGTAAAGAAATTTCAGCTTTCCTCGAGTAGATCTCACCATGCCGATCAGAGGTATGTCATCAGTGGGGTTTCACCCATGATACGAAATACAATAGTGAAAAATATATTCCACGGCTACTGCATAGCGCGAATATCCCATTTCCCACTGAGTATTACGCCACATGACTCAGTCATCACAGTTTTGGTTATTGTAGGCGCTATCTTTAAGCTATTCATGGCTTAGTCCGAGCCTCTGGGCTGTACATCGAGTCGATGTAGTACTGCCCTTGGGCTCCTCAAATAGTTTCACCCCGAAAGTTTCGATCTACCTTCGTTCATTGGAGTATTTCGTTATCGCTGAAAAGGAGTCGTCGAGTAATTGTGTCACATATCGTCGAGGCTGGTTGCGTTGGTATGTGACTCCGTCCACACTGGTCAATTGTCTATCAGTCTCGTCGTTCCATTCGCTGTTGTCACGTGCAAATCAATTGCACAATACGGGCAAAGGTAAAAACCTTCTTCCTAGAACGTATACTCCCCAAGGGAGTAATTTTGCTTGCCCTCAGCATCTACGTGCCGCAATTCTCTGCGGCTGGCCAAAATCCCAGAGCAGAGTCCAAAGACTCTAACCGAGGTCCGAGTTGGCCGTGCTGAGGTCTATCTTACCCATTCCATGTTCCGTGTTAGCCAAGGGGGCGTTGGCTGTTGGCAACCGCCCCTTCCATAATGGAAGGGACCTTAGTTGACGTTAGTTGATAACCTTTTCAACTCTCAAACCATTGCCCGGACATCCCAAGCAAAGAAAGCCACGCACATGATGAAACAGTCAGTCAGCGCTCATATTCGAAATATGATATTCCCTTCTGTATTTATCGAAGTTGTCTCAGTAGATGTGGCCAGATAGGGGCCCGATTCCATCTCCATGGGAAGTTTAGATTCCAATAGGAGTTGTCCCCTAACTGGTGTAACACAAGGCGATCCCAAAGGTCAAGGAGGTAAAGTCCACAGACAATCGTACCGTATGCAAAGATTGTCTTTTGTATTCACGACGAGAGGCGTTGACCACTCAACTGATGTCCTCCTGTTGATAGAATCGAAACAAGGGTATATGAAAGATCCGCTTATAACCACGCAGACATACAGGGAATAAGGTAAAGCGTGGAGAAGAATATTGATCCGCTCGTAAGTAGGCATTATCTACTCCGAAAGCAAAGACGGGAAAGAAAGGTTACAGATGGATGAGTCGCGAAGCGTCGTCAATACTTAATGAAATAACTACGATCACTATGACACTCGAAGAGTCGACGCCACGGTATTGTATGAAAAAGCTCCTAGAGTTGGAGACGGCCCATCCAGAAATGTTCAACGTACTCGCAAAAAAACAGCAATTTGCTATTAGCAAATTGGACGACCAACAAAGGTCTGAATGATGGTTAACCAAAGCGTTTGATACGCTGAGGATTCTACTATCGAAACAATATCAACTAATGGGAAGGAGGTTCTCGGTGTGCCAGCTCCCACCATTTTCCCTTGAGGTGAATAGACGGGTGATCGAACTTAGTATCGTACTTTATATCCCACAAGTCCCTTGTATCCAGAGGTAGGTAATCCTCGCATCTTTGCTTGAAGCTTCTAATGAACGCGGGCCAGTGATCACTTTGGGCTATTATTATCCAGTAGAGCGAATCGGACACCTTGTGGACAGGGAAGGTCGCTCTAATTGGTCTGGGACCCAGCGCACAGTAGAAACTAACCTCCACTGATTTGACATCATTTGAGAATGTATAAACCAGATCCAAATAAGGTTTAGACACGGCCAGAAAATATGAACCATTGAGCTCGTGGGATAGGGCAACACCGACGAGTATGAGATGGAGAAGACGGTTGAGCATGGATTCGATTAAGAAACCTACAGCAAATAGTCCTATAATATCATTCTATACAAGGGATAGTACTTACAATTCTGGCCCGTTCAACGCAACACTACAATCCATAGAAGATGCCCGCACAAGTTGGAAGTTACAACTTGCGTGCCGAACTCCGCTCGGCATCTTGTGCGGGTTTTTCTACGGCCCCCGCATTTACCACGCTACTCTGAGATGCCATTTGGACTCAAAAAGGAAAAACTGACTTAGATAGTGGAACGACAAAACCACTAAGATATTATCCAATCGAGATGGAGTCGTCGGAGCTGTCAGTCACGAAGCTGTCAGTCTCAGTTCGTTTGACGAACCGAGACTCACAGCTTCGGTGAGCAACTTGCACGCATGTGCATATTCCTAAACGGAAAAGGGGGCAGAACAACACGGCCGCACAAACGGGCCTAACTCAGGCAGAGTATTGTATATGCGGGTTTTGACTAAGATTGGGGAGTTTCCCTCAAATCCGGGCCAGTTTTCAAAGACGTGTAGATGCGTTTCGGAATTTTAGATTCTTCTTGTTCTAAAAGATCTACAATTCGTGCGGTCTGCTCACGGCGTGAGCCTCACGCGTGCGGACTTCGTGAATTATGAACGCTGCACGCGTGCGCAGACAGTGCAAGCGCAGAGTATCACAATGGAAACCGGATAATCGGGAACCATTTCCGATTATCTACACATTTTCCCCGTCGTGTTTACAATAAGTATTAGAGTAGCGAGATATACCTAAGTTTTTTAATTCCGCACGGAGGAAGATAACATGACTCTGGCGCGCGCCGCATCGCTCCGCTTTTATCAGTAATGTTCCATCTACGAGATGGAAGTGGGAAAGTTGTGAAACGTGAGGCTACGCCCAGCTCGCATCATACTTTGTTGACCTCTTTCTTGTTCACTCTGCTGTGAATCTGTCATCAGTCGTCACCAATACCACTAGCCTAGCCTACCTTACACCATCTTACGAAGACTTGAGTTGTTATCAGAGAACAAGAACAATAAGGAGCAGGTCCTTAGGCTCCTTAAGGCGTACCTTGAAAGAAGGAGTTCCTTACGCTCCGTAAAAATGAAAAGTTATAAGGAAGCGCTCCTTAAGTGAGTAGCGTAGGGAATTCCTATTTTTGAGGTGCGTCTCAAGGAGCAGCTCCTAAGTTACAGGCTCAGTGTGGCCAATGCGTTAGACTGATTATAAGTGCTCATTCTCAGCGACGAGGGCTGAGATGGGCTTCTTCGTCAGTTATACAATGGAACCGATTCACAACGAAATCGAGCACGAAGGAGATCGTCCGTAGAACCTTTGAGAGGCGTTTCGAACGATTCCCGAAGTGGTCCACTCTGTCTTGTGACGACATGCTGAAATGGCATGCGATCAAAATTTGATCGCAACAATTATTTAATATCACTATCGATCTCCCGCTATTATTTAATAATACTCACTCGAACCGAGTTAACAAGTAAATAGGAGTATTGCACGAGCTCCCATTATGGTTCCGAGGTGCGGTATCTGATAGGCTAATAATAGGCTTCTCACAAAAGCACTCGTGGAGTTGGCAAGATACCATGTCATCGTAAAAGCATCACTGGTGGCCAATTATATAAGTTCAGAGTAAGCCTTAGGATCATGTGATTATCCATTCAACACGCACAGCCTTCGCACTGCTCATGATCTCCGCTGAAAAGACCAAATTTATATTACGACCATGTGTAGCGTTATAGGATTCATATTCAGTCAATTCAGAAGAAAGGCTAATATGCGTATGTGGACGGATCGTATCGGGTCGTTGGTGGCTATTGGAACCGCCGTAGAAGCACTTAGCGCTATAATGGATTAGGATGCTCCACTGACTTTGTGTATGCGTGTGTCGAGGTTATAGGCAACACAACCGAGCTCGAGATGCCCAGCAGTATTGGAAAATACGCTTATGGTCAACTACATGTGTTGGTGACAATATGGATATCTTCGGTCTTCTTGCTGGCTTATTCTCGCCGGAATGTCTACAACTAGTGAGGAAACTCCTGAGCTCAG